ATTTATTCTTATTTTAGAATAGACCATTGATAGTCAAGCTATTTCTGTTACAAATATCTAACTTATTATTCAAAGTAATAATTTTGCTCTTTCCAACAATGTTTCAGCTAGACTAAAAATTCTCTTGTACTATCAGTCACGCTTCAAAGAAAAGAACCAAGAGATAAAAAGTTATGGTCATTTTTCCACAATAGTTCGTTAAAGATGTAAGTTAAAAAAATCGAAAGAGATATATTCATGATTATCTTTTAGAAAATGATTGTTATTCCTATGAATTTTCGAAGTCAATGATTCATTTTACATTTTTACCATGTTAACTAAAAGCATATATCATTTTTTACGTTTCTTATATATATTAAAGCCTACTTGTCAGAACTCGAGTTTGATGGGCTAACTGTCTTATCAACTTCATTTGACCCAGATCACTAGCAATACTTAGGTTGAAGTTTAAAATAATACACTCATCAGATCCTTATAAGTCAATCTTAATCTTGCTCACTTTCGATGTGGAACTAATTTGGGTGTTACACTACTTGTATGATTTTTCTCTTCTACAATACTCTTAGCAAACACTCCAAAACACATCCCACTTTTTTTTTCTGATAAAACCAAAACACACATCTTCATTTGCTTACCTGAATATAAATATCAAAAATTCTTCTTCCATTACTTTTCCAAGTAGGTGGATCAAGTATCTGCGTCTCAGCAAAATGCAACTTAACAGTATAATTTCCATTCTGAAGCCCGAGCCCATAGTATCTCAGTGATGAGGGAGATATCCTTGCAGTCTGATATAACTCTGATTCTAGAGTATTTGTGAATTGGGATGAACTGTATAGAATATAGTCAGCATTTGAGGCATCTGAAAAGCTTCCAACAGTACTAACTGCCCACTTGTTTGTCTCAGTCACATAATAAGAAGCAGTAGTTAGAATCTGGTTGTCAATTTCATACAAAGTTCCATCGGAAGCTGTTATAGTTTTATTACCACCACACTTTACTGCAAATGAAGAATCTGCTAGCATCAAAAACTAAATCATTCATATATTAACATTGGAAAGACAATGATAAATAACCGAAATTACGACATACAAATTGGTGCCCCACGATTGCACGGTATATCTCGTTGGAGACAATTCAATCCTGAAGGCAAAACACTGTACATAACACTTTAGTTATGTCACTCCAGATGAAAAAAATATTAAAGATGTAAAATCATTGTTATAGATCAGAAGCACCTGCTGTTAGAACTTCCAATTACAAAGTTGTTGGCCACCAAGTTCCTGTAATAATTACAGCAATGAGTGTCACAATTGGTAGTTCTTATGGTCTACCAAATATGAATCAATGGAGAATGGAAGGCAAGGGGGCCTAAGTATTACATAGTGTATAAACAATACAAGGGAACAAAACTTTAATTGTAATGCCAAAAAAATTACATGTGTCATCACAAAGTTATGAATCAGCTTGGTGTGTCTTGTTTAATCACCATAGGCCATCTCTTGTTCATGGAGCAAAATAAGGTTCCTGTTTTCTTTAAATGAAGTAAAATTGACTTAATGGGGAAGTCGACCAATTTTTATGCAAGATGGTTCCAAAATGCAACCATACGTTTTTGAAGGAATTCATTAGATATAGTAATAAGTTATACTACAGTGTTCCCGTATCTTCTAAATATCTGCTTTAATGATGTAGTTAAAGAGTGATGAGAAACATTTGAACTACCAAGTATTTGACATGGCTAATATAGTACAATGAAGAATCTCTCTTTAAATAAACATACAGTTTCAGATTTTGTTGGCTAGCCCAAGAAGGAAAACTTCCTGCCAGTTGATTATAAGATAGATCTCTGCAGGAAAGACATAAACCAGAATCAAACACTCAAATATTGTATAAACAAGAAGCAGGTCCATCAGAGCAGTATTAGAGAATAGCTATTAAAATAAATGACACAATAATTATCACTTGCTGAGAAGATTTTACTAATGTCTGTTGACCAAAACACAGGCAACAGTGTAAGTGTTAAAACCCTGAATGAGATAGACAGATAAAGTTCTCCTAATTCCAAATATAAAGCAGTTAACAAAAAATTGAAAGACTACACCACAAATTAGCTTCCAAGAAACTGAATCTGAAGAACATACATGTTAAGAAGTGTCACGCTCTTGTTAGCGGGCAAGCTACCAGATAGATTATTATTTCCAAGGAATCTGCAATAGGAGGAAAATAAAATTCAAAATAAGTATGATAGTAACCAAATTTAACTAACATCCTATTAGGATGCTTACAAAATGAATTCACACCACAAACTTATCTTACAAATAACTCTTTTATAGGGATTTTTCTTACAAGTGACTAAGCAAGTTCAAATTGAAGAGAGACTGAGGAAGTTGTCCCATAAGATTGTTGAAGCTCAAATCCCTGTGAGACAATAGCATCTCTCACTAAATTAGAATACCAATTTCGTACAGACTAAAGGGTGGTAAAAATCAAAATAGTGGTGCCAGAAAATTGTCATTCATGACAAGCAACATCATCAATAACATTCATCTGAATCAGGCTTACAGTTTCTGCAAACTGGTGTATTGTGAAAAGTTTGAGGGAATAATATCTGATATCTTGCAATTCCTTAAGATCCTGTAAGGAATAGATGATACATGACTTATTTAACTGTTACTGCAGGATAAGAGGCATGAGACAAAATAGATTGTTGAGTCTTTTTCTCACAAGGTGCTTAATGATGTCAGATTACTAATAAAAGCTAACGATGAGCTCCCCTTTTGTATGTCACTTATCCTTCTGCATGACAAAAAAAAAAGCAAAAAGAGACTTAAATGAATTGAACTGTAATGATTAAAGGCATTCATTATGCATATAATGATATTAAGAAATGGTATATGGTGATGCGTTGGTAAGTATAAATCAAAACAAAGACTACAGTAATGTATTACAAAGACAGTAGACCAGCAGATACACCGTGAGACAATTAAATAGTGTGTAACACACATTCAATTAAGATAACTAGGAACAGATGAGCCTTACAAGTCTACCATATTGGTCATCCTGGAAAGACCTGATGGGATTGGCCCCTCGAAAGAGTTTCCTTGCATTCTCCTGGCGAAGCAATCTAAAAATTAGTATAACTAAAAGAAGATCAATATTCTTATATGGGCATGTTTAAAAGCAAAAGTTGATACAACTTCATGAGGCTGGAGCTTGGAACAATGAAAAAGTATGAATAGAAAAAGAATACCTCTGCAGAAAACTTTTCATTGATTTCAAGTCATTTCAACAATCTTGACTCAACAAAATAAGTTCAATTGTGCATGACAAGCTAGTAGCAGTAATAATTATTTTGACCACAGGACTGACAATGTGAGATTGAGTTTTTAAGGAAGCAACCTTGCACAAATATTCCCACCTATAGATTCTTTTGTCATGCACAACTATTGAGCCTTTTGGTGACATCCGTACATCTGCACCATGGTGGTCATTGGGCAAGTTGATAGTCATGATAAGACATAAAACTACTAGCATTCAGCAATCAGATAGCTGAGCAACTGCTTCAGGAGGCAATTTAGATAATTTTCAAATAGATAACAGAAGCTAGAGGCACCTACAAAGTGCTGATTGCACAAACTATTAAACTGAGAATTAAAGTGAACAGAACTGCCTTATCCGTAAGACGATACCTTGTTTTTAAATACTTTAAAGAAGCACATGACATGCCATCAACTGCATTTAACCATAGAGTTCTATAACCATAGTGGCATAATACTAAGATACAAATTCTAGTTCAGAATGTATTGTGTGATGTCCATTACTAAAAGCAGATTAAGGATATTGTTGTTAGTGTTTCTAACAAAGACTATTGCTTTAATGTGAGTCATACCACACTCTATTAAAAATATCCTTCCAAAAAATTACACAAAAGAAATCTATGTGCATCAAAACCATAAGGATGGCCTAGATCTCTTTGTATTTGCTGCTGCACTTAATTTTCTAATAGTATTTATAATTTTAAAAAAATTGTGTAAGAATTGGCTACTGGAAACTAAAATCATATGGATGGCAATAAAGAGATTCAAAAAACTCCAGTTGCTCATGAACATATGAAATTGTGGATAATATAACCTTGTAAATTAACAAAATAAAGCATGTGCTTATGTTTCATAAAGGCTACGCTACAAAATAAAGAAACTCTTGGCCCAGATTTGATGGAAAGTTGACCAGAAATCTGCTAGGTATCCTTTTGCTTTAACACATAAACAAATTTAACTGCTGCTCGAACATTTTGCTGTGATAGATACACAGATTGCAGGAAAATATGATACATAACTAAAATAAAATTCTAGATATCAGATATTACATAAAAGTTATTCCTCTCAATACTTACAATGAGGTTATATTAGTCCTGCTGAAGTCTGGTATTTTGCCAGTGAAATTATTGTTAATTAGCCACCTGATACAGAAAAAAAGTGGTGAGCAACATCTATGTCTGCGCAATTGATATGCAAAAATAAATAAATGAAAAAGATGACTTACAAGGTCTTCAAATTTTTTAGTCCTGATATAGTTGATGGGAACTCACCACTTGCCCCACAGCTACTCACATACCTACCAAATAATTATTGTATGTAAGCACAAAATACCAACTAAAAAACTTCTAGTGTTTAGAAGCACTAAAACACAAATAAGGCTGTCAAAGTTATCTAACAATTGCTGCAATTTAGTCAGGTTTCCAAGCTCAAGAGGGAGCGGGCCACTGAAGTTATTTGTAGCAATACTCCTGCAAAATAAAACCAATCGAATTATTCATGTTTCTTTCACATCATCTGAAGAAAATTATGCCATGGGATTGCAATACATGTCAATAAGGGAGGAATTGCAGTACATGTGAATCAACAAAATGTAAGTGTTCATTATACATAAAACAAAGATCGCTCACAAACTTTTTTCCCCTTGTTCTTTTCTTTTCCAAAGACAGCTTAATAACAACAAAAAATCCACTTCAAGAAATCAAGTTCATCGTTAAGAAGCAAGAATTTTCTACCTCAAATTAAATGTAAGACTGATAAGCCAAAGAATTTTGCATATTATGTAATACTTTTGATTTTGATTGAATCGACGACCTTCAAAGGAGGGGCGCCAATTTGAAGGAGGTCGGGATGTAATGTACCTTCACAGCAGCCTTTTGACTCGAAAGGATGCACGAAATGCATACCCATCGCTTTGGCATCTTTTGGTTGATGCCATTAGGAAACTATGGACACAGCAATGCACCAAATTGGTCGACTACCCCGGCCGACCAACCATTGGCCATGCGAAAAAGCAGAGCCTGTAAAGATCTTATCAGGCGATCATTCGCCTCCACCTCTCTCTCCCTCCTCGGGGGTTGTCTTCCGGCGGATGCGTGGCCGTGAGTAAGGAGAACACATGGCGGCACGCGACAGCCAGACTGTCTGTAGATGGCCGTCGTTGGCGCCGTGACGAAGCAAATGCCTGAGGGGCCGGGGGAAGTGAAAGAAAAGGAGTCGGTTCATCAAGAAAGATCCGAATCCGATATGACGCCCGATTCGTTTTGTTAGATCATTTTACATATATAGCCTTAAAAAGTTCAGAAATAACATAATTACCACTTCATATCATATTTATATATCATCCCAAAACCTTTTAGCAACATAATTATTTTTAAAAATTATTGATATATATATATATATATATATATATATTCTCTAAATTTACAATTAGAAGGACAAATACAAAAATATTAGATATATGTGTTTCAATTTGGTGGCATTGAGTCAAATCCAAATCCACATTGGCTTGAGGCTGATCTGTATCTTCCACAACCTTGATCGGATAGCTATCAAGAAAATTCATGATACTTTTATAATTACTTCTTGCAGTTCATGAAATCATGTGGAGGATTTTTGGCTGAGAAATGGGGCATAAAAAAGAATGATTTCTTACAGGGAGAGAAGGTTGGTGAGCTTGCCGAGTTCCTTTGGTATGCCTCCTGATAGTGCATTAGTACCCACTGACCTGCAAAGTTGCATCCAATCAAGAACAAACTTGTTGACAACATAGGTTAGGTTAGAATGTAAGTGGACTTACAAGTATTGTAGGCCGGTCAAGTTCCCAATGAATGCAGGAAAGGGACCCGTCAAATAGTTTTGAGCCAAATGCCTGTTGATGTAAAGCTTGCTTGACATAATAACTTCAATTGCTCACAATGATGTTGATAGGAAATTAAGTCACTAATATATTGTAAAATGATGTAAGTATTGTGCATATTAGGGACCATAGGATCGATAATTAGTGCTCTTACTTATTTGGTTGTCTATATGTTCGTTATCTGCATTTGGAGGTGCTTTTTGATATGGTGAGTTCTTATCTCATGCTTGTCTTGCATGCATGCTTTAGAAGTAGTAGGAAATAGATGGAGGTAGAGATGAGACGGAGATGGAAGAGGGCATACAAGTTGGTGAGGTACGTCAAATTTTGCAGCTCGGCCGGGATTCTGCCCACCACATCGAGGGCGTACACTTTCCTGCATATATATGAGCAAGCCAAAACTTCATACCAAGATATACATATATACATGTATATATACATATATATATATACATATACATATATATATATACATATACATATATATATATACATATACATATACATATATATATATATATATATACATATATATATATATATATATATATATATAGAGAGAGAGAGAGAGAGAGAGAGAGAGAGAGAGAGAGAGAGAGAAAGTCTGTGTGTTTGAATAGACATGAACTCCAAGAAAAGCAAGAAAAAGATGATGATGAAGGAGAAGAACCCAACTGCATAGCATGAGAGTGAGTGTGTGCATTTGAGAGAGAGTCTGTGCCCTAAATGATTATGAACTCCAAGAAAGCAAGAAAATGATGATGAGGAGAACTCAACTGCATAGTTTGAGAGTGCGTATTTAGAGAAAGTGAGAGAGAGAGAGAGAGAGAGAGAGAGAGAGAGAGAGAGAGAGAGAGAGAGAGAGAGAGAGAG